AAAGATCATGATATCATGTAAGGAACGAAATTATATATTATGAAAACAACGGTATTCCCTATAATGACATATGGCTCCGAATCATGGACCCTAAATTCATCGTGTCAATGAAGAATAAAAGCATTTGAAATGTTTACATATAGAAGAATGTTACAAATTCCATGGATCGACCATAGAATGAACATATTTACAATACAGGACCACCTCTTGATCATAATTCAGAGCCAAATACTCAAATTGTTTGGCTACGTGATGAGAAGAGACGGTATTGAAAAAGACATTATCCAAGGAAAAGTCGAAAGAAAGAGAAGCAGAGATATGCTCCCTTCATCCGCTATATAGACCAAATTAAGACCCTCACACAAATGACAATGTCAGAATGAATCCAGAATAAAGAGAACAGAGAGTTATGGAGAAAAGTATTCAATAGAAACAACATAAATCCATGAAAGTTACGACGTTTGAAATCGAACAACGAAAAATAAGAGACTGCTCATATCAAAATGATAATACTATCTTTATTAAAAAATTATTATGCTTATTAAATTAAATTATGGTAAAACAATTTTAAAGGGTCTCCAAATTATTGTTTGCACTAGGGCCCCACGAAACCTAGTTGCGACACTGTGTAGCGAAGTAACAATATATTTAGAAGTTCAAAACAATAATATTTAAATTAAAAATTTTAAACTACAATAGTTCGTGAACACATTTTGGTGATGATATTATGTATTGGTTTGGGCGCCAAATATAATATTATTTTTGCTATTGTTTGTAGTGTAATATTCGCATGAATAAGTCCGATATATCGTTAAGAGTTTTTTGTTCAACTTATTCTTTATCCGAACACCGTTAATTCAATTTTTACACCTCCCAAAGCTCTGTAATAACATTACAGCCAAACTAATGAAATATTTGTATTTACAATAAACCAGAATTGAAACCGCTGGGGAATGACGTTGTCGTCAATAATATACGTGTGAGTAATATTGTCGAAATATTGTTTGTCCCTTAAGTGATCTTACACTCGTGTCATTCAATATTAACAAGAGAAATATAACAACGTTGTAACATTATTAAAAATATGAATAGGAGAAAAGATTTTTACAAATGTTTTACTGTTATAAAATCTATATTACTGGGTGAGTAAAAAATACAATTAACTATCTTTGTCATAGTATAGTTATCAAATATGTAACACGTTACGAATGAAATCGTTATACAATAAATTCTAAATTAATTGATTTGCATGCTGACTAAACTGTTTATAATGATGCTATTATAAACGTATTGTTAAATTGAATTCGACTGCTACAAAATATTGAAAAGGCATAACGCTATTAATCGTATATATTATGTTATATTTAGAAATACATTCGATTTACTCAAAATATTATATGTACGCAAAATTCGTATAAGTATAATTCAAAGAATACATGTGAGATGATTCAAAGTTCTTTCGTTCAAGCATATTTAAAAAAAGCCATGTAGCTTATTAAATTAAATGCTGTCAATGGAAAATATGCAAATATCGTATGCATATATATAGAGATGGGTGACTTAATGCAATTTATTTTGGTCGTTCTTTAACCAACGTGTACACTTAAATAATAATAGTATTACAAGTTTATACGTATGAAGATCAAAGTAAATAAATACTAATTAACTTAATGTATTATAGAGTAGTATCAATTTATTATTATATTAGTGTAATTTCGGTTTATTAATTTTTACGTTTCCTACAAAGATGCGTGCGCGCAGGCATGGACATTCATATACCTATTAAATTATACAAATATATTTATCGATAGATAATACTAATAGGTGTAACATTCGAATGGAACATTATACATAAACTCAAAAAAACATAAACTACATAAATTGTGTGTTGTTTTATTTTATAAATACATGTAATTAATTTTATTTACTTACATTCTTGTTTAAATGTGAAGTATTCGGTTAGATGTCTACATTCGTGGTTTCCTCTTAATAGAAATAATGTAGTGGGATGGCACAACTTCAAAGCCCACAAATAAAGCACACACTACAAACAAAATAACCATTTATAAATAATATTATTACGAAGGATTTAATAATCGCAGGTACATACTGCAACATGTAGGCAGGTACACATTAATTTTATACTCAACAATGAAATTCCTCTACCGGTGCTGGTATAACAATAATGATAATTATAATAAGTGTAATAGTACTATAAATGTCAGACTGCAAGCTCGTCGAAATGAAACTATTGCAATAGAAGTTTTTAGCATGTATAATGTTAATTTAACATTTCCCGCTATTATAAAATGTGTGACGGAGTAAACAAATCTGCCGATCCGCGCGCAGTACGCTTTTATGTACGTTCATCATTTTTTACACAATATATATGTAGAGCGTTTCGTTATTGCGGTATAGCTCAAATTTTCAAATTGAATGCGATTCCGTGAACAATAATGACGATAGTAATTCGTACTGGTATACGTAAAATATTATAATAGCACATAATAATAATTAGAGGCTACTTATTCGTATACCAATAAATAATTTTGCACGCTGTCCGGATGCCAATAGAGTATATATATATATATAAAAAAGAGATAATAACTGTGCAAGTCAAACACTATACATATACGGTGTGATAGTGATATTGTACGCATATGTCATTTTGTACCGATTTTAAGCATTATTATGAACAACTGTTATCGACAACAGAATAATTCCAGGCGTTCCATGTAGATGTTTTGGAAAAGAAAATAAAGAGTTTCCTCATCACGAATATATCACTAAACGATTTTATCAAATTATCCGGACACACTTTTAAAACGTTAACGGGATGAAAAAAAAAAAATTCCCGTACTCGAAAAGCTATTAAGAAAATTTTTTATAATATTTTATAGGTGTACACATCGAACCGTCATTTGCTGTTGGATAAAATGTACAAGAAAATCAAAAAAGAAAATACGTTAAGGTAAACAATTGTCTACGTATCCTAGTGGTACGACGAGATAATTTACTCTCATTTTGAGTATCCCAAAAGTTAAGCCGACAGATTTCTAAACGGTTTTTATCGAATAGGAGAATAACCTTGAGTTGTTCCACTTCCTGGTGTCCTCGTCGTCGCTTAAATAAAACTGGCTAATAACCCACGGCGTAATATGCTTATTGCCGCTGCAGGTATGCAGACGATATGCCGCCCGCTTTGGGCTTAGACCGTTATTAACTCGTTGTGTAAAATGAACGTGTTTCGCGTGCACCGGTGCCTGCGTTAAAAAATGTTAAACTATACCGTTCCCGAAACGATTCCGGTGTGTGCCGTTGTCGAGTACTGAGAGCGAATAATGAAATATTGTACGGATTGAATGTAGACGAGTCAATATGCTAATAAATAACAGTATTGTGTAATTACCTCTATACTGAAATACCCTCTGTCCACGTAGTCGCCCAGGAATAGGTATTTTGTAGTCGCAGGAGGACCACCGACTTCAAACAACTTCATTAGGTCGTAGAACTGACCGTGTATATCGCCACAAACTATAAAATATTAAATCATTGACAAACGATTAGATTAAACAATACGTTAATGTTATTTCGGTAGAGTGCGATAAATATTAAAATGTTTCGCGCAAGCTGCTAGACAGCAGTTATAAACATAGATTTTACTAAACAAACTATCACCAACTCGATAGTATATTATTGAAACGGTGACGCGACAGAAAACAGTCAAAAATGATTTGTGAGAAAGAGTTTGCACCAGTTAAACGTTACGACGACAGAAAAATCAAGTATAATATACTTATAATATTATATTTAATATTTGATCGTGCGTACGCATTATAACACTGTTCGAGATGGGTATTTCTCATCGAAGCGCTTTCCATTGTTGCATCGCTAACGCCTTAAAATGTTCTTAAAAAGATTCAGTGATTTGTTTACTTAATGCGTGACTGAATTGTGTGTATGCAGAGTTCAAAAGTCACGCTGTTTTTCGCATTTATAACATTTTGGTATAAAAATAAGTACGCAGGACGTGAAAAAAAAAATAATAAAAATGTTTTTAATAACGTATTTTGGTTATAGTCACTAAATTTTTTTAACGTAAACGAGCCCGACCATTACCTAAACACAATTAACCAAATCGTGAATAGTAGCAGGTTTAATTAAGACTTTGGAGTAAAACTTGAACGTTTTTAGCGCACGCAATGATTTAAATTTCTAAAGTATTATGTTCGGAAATGAAATATTATTTAGCCCGGTGAGTATTTTTCATTATTTTTTAGTCGTGTAAAAACTGAAACATTTTGAGTTTAATTTTAAAGTCCGTCATTTAGTAATTGATTTTTTTTTTAGTCCATACCGTAAACTTAATATTGAAAATACTGATATATAATTCAATAGAATTATTATTGGACCCCATTGAAATTAAAAAAAAAAAAAAAAAAAACAACACGTATTATATTTTAATATTCTATCTTCTGCACATATATATCTACTAATTGTGTAAATAAAATACGCTTCCATAAAATGTAAACTAAATATTGTTGACTTTGATGTTTCAAACTCTTCAAACGCACGATGTATAATCGATTTAAAACGTATAACAAAACGTAGTGAAACATACACTAATTACAATTTTGGATTTAAAAACAGCACACGGAGTCGTTTAACTAAAAACCCGACGGCGGAGGAGGATTGACGAAAAACCCGAAACATTTACCAATCACGCATAGTTTCGTAAAATTATAGATTTCCGTTTTCTGAATAAATTAGAATATCAAGCTGGTTTTTCAGAAATCTTCACACGGCGAACGTAATGGACGCGCAGACACACCGTATGGGTTGGATGATATCGGTTTTCCGTCTGGAACAGCGTTTCACAATTTGGAGCATGCGAGAGAAAGAAAAGTTATCAAATTTGTACGAGAGGGATGGGGGTGGGGAAGGATTATAGCAAGCGGTGAAAGGTCAATGGGCGGTACGACCAAGGACGGCCGCCGCCGCCGCTGTGTAACGGGACGTGAACGAAAAATTTGAATCTATAGTGGCGTGTTCAAACGCCGTCGCAATGTTTGGACACCGTCGATGCACGTCGATGAACTAAAACGACAAAACGGTGCTTTTTTTCTTCCAACGAGGGCTTAGCCGTGGACACGAGCGCGCGTTCGTCAGTGCCCCATTTAACGGACCGCGGACGTTCTGTCGAGCGAAACTTGAACGGAACGTGCTCGGAACGACAAACGTGTCGCACGCGGTGTACAGAGTGCACATGTCATAGCGCATACGTTGTTGTCACGAGAAGAACAACATTGTTCTTTGGACAAGTCTTTGCCGCGCGTGCGCGCACGGTAATACGTAATGTACTCGTTGCTCGGCTAACAAACGACCTACTGCGTGCGCACGTACGTAGACTTTTTCCAGATTTATACAACACAATAATAATATTATTTTTGTACACACACACACACACACACACACTCGACGTACGCGGATACCCGCGTCCGTTCAATTCTCCCCCCTTCCCGGGAGCAGAACTACGGCTAGGGACAAAGAACAAAGACATTGTTTATGTACATGTTTATATCGCCTCTAGCGAATCTGCAGGGCTTATGTAATTTGAACATGCGCCCCGGCGGGAAATATTATATTAAACAACGCACGGGTCGCGGGGGCATCAGCAGAATGCCGGTCTTATGAGTCGTCGGTGTGCACGATGAGGTTCGGTGAACGAGTACTGGAATATTACGAGGGTCCACGTCGCTGCCGACGGTTTTTGAATTAAAACATAACTTCAATACGATGGTTAAGTTTTCGGTACGTTCGGTAGTGTACGGAATCGCATACGGCATTATACAGTGTACTAATAATATTCCGTTTTAGAAAAGTTCACGGACTATTCGATGATCAATGGCCACCGCCGTCAGTCGTAATAAAATTGCTAAGCAAAAAGAAATGTCCTACATCAAAAAAAAAAAAAAAAAAAAAAAAAAGGTCGTTTTGTTTTATGCGAGGCCATTAAACCAAATTTTAAAATTAATTACCAAGAAAATAATATAATTTTTTTTTGGCGTAATGCTGCATAGTTATTATTTCGAATTACATGAAAATGTAATTATTTTTTACACACATAAATTAACCCTGGGAAAGGCGTGTTGCTTGTCAAAATAAAACATTTGATTATTAAACTGTTTATGTTATATTGAATGTAATTTTACTATGCTTTTCCAAAACGACGGCATCCCAATTCGTTATAAACCCCAAAAATCTTTTCTAGAACTGACTTCGATGTTGGTTATCCGTATCCATGAAATTATACTAGTTATACGATTACAACGATGTAATTCGTACGGCATATATTCAACGCAAACAAAAAATAAACCTATTTCAAATATTTATAACTTAAGTTTTATTGATTTTGATGATTTTATGGTATAAAACGGTTATAATTAGAGACCGGATTCATATGCGCTTAAAATTTTAGAAATAAGATGTTTCTATGCTCTATAATTTCATCAAAATATTCTGTTATATGCAGAAATATTCTTTTATGAAAAAATATTCTTTTTCATAAAAATGTTTTAAATACTGAAAAAACAAATAATAGTAGTAGTTTATAAAATATAGGAGATTTTCGGCATTTTAATTTACCAAGACATACACCAAAACTTAACACTGAATACACTAGTAGTTAGTAGTAGTAGTAATAGTACACTTAAGACTTAACAATAATTAAAATGGTTAATGAATTTGTAAAGATTATTTGATATCTGTATTCTGTAATCCGTGATATCACAGATAGAGACGTTAGCATAGTCTACGCATATGCGCAGAAGCGTTGGACAATGAAGTGTGTGGAACTTGATAAGTGCTACTCGCGTAGAACGCAGGAACTATTATCATGGTTCGTCTATAAAAATAAGATAAGAGAATATATAGAGAATAATAATTTTTAATTAACTTTCTTATTAATGTTAAGTTCTTATCAATTTTCTTTTCGTCAAGATAAATAATATAATAAAAAAAATTTGGGATTTTTTTATAAACCATTAGATTTTTTATAAAATATTCAAATTAAACCCCAATATACCAATATATTCTTAAAACATGTTTTTTACACAAAATATTCTTTAACCTCTAAATATTCTTTTTTATTCTCTAAAAACTTTTGTATAACAGTTCATAGGTAAATGAATCGTCCAGAAAACTTATCCAAATGGAGCTGCATACTCTCAGTAAAAATATGTAAAAACATAAAAATCCGGTCTATAGTTAAAAATTGTTTTGACTTGATCTCGGTTTTATCATTCGTGTTCACGAACAAATAAATTTGTCTCCGTCCTAAATTACGGGTTATTAGAGCAATTCGTATCGTTATTACCAAGGATTGCAAGTTAGACACAGAAAATTTATCAGACTTACTCACAGGGCCAACGAGAGAGTAGGGCAGGGTAGGTAGGTAGGAACCCCAGGGCCCGTCCCTCCGAAAGGACCCGTCGTCTCAGTCTTTTATACAAAATTATTTTATAATCACATTCGCCGTAATATAAACTGCAAATTTTAATATTTTAATTGTACTAAAGTATGTAAAAGTAGTATGTATATCTTGGTCAATCAAGTGTAAGTAAAGGATGCTTGGAATTGATAAACCCCGGGGCCCTCAAAAGTTCTTGCCAGCCCTGCTTACTCGACCTACGCGTTTACCGGGATACGATCACTGACTATATGAATATATATATATATATATATATATATATATATATATATATATTATACGCAGTGGTGTATTAAGGGGGGACGTTTGACCTCCCAAGAAGAAAAAAAAAATGACTTGCTACGAGGTACAGACAAAGTGAATATTAATTTACATCATGTGGTTATAAACAATTTTTCATTTGTATTTATTATAATAATAGAACAATATAATTATTAATTCATACCTTAAATGTACTTCTTATTAGGTATATTATAAAATCACTTATTTTTTAGAAAAATTTTAAATCCTCCAACAAAATAATTAAAAATACGCCACTGATTATACGTATACAGTTTGTGGTATTTTTTTAAATTATTTTTATTATTAGAACAAAGTCAGTAACATCGGTGACCATCACCATAGTGGTATTAAAATATATCACACCCACCGGTAACGGGAGCTTCGATGTCTATCATGGTCTTTTCGGATCTGAGAAGCGACGCACCCTCGTTAACGATGCGCAACGCAGCCGCTTCATCTATCCGACCTTCTAGGATGAAATGCTGTTTCAATATGTCCGGCCGAGGTTTATTCGTCCTCTGGTCCCATACTTCGGCCGTGGTCAACTTCCGTCCCGGTGGAAACGGTACGCCTGGTAATATAGAAAATCAACGGGTTAGTATATATTGTATAAAATCAATAATTACTACGTGCATTGCGACAGACAAGAAGTACAACGAATGAATCGGAAGAGCGTAAACAACATATAGTATATCAGTCAGTTTACGTAATTTTATTGCGAGTTTTGTTTTGTGTTTCTATACTTGATACCAAAAAAATACCATATAAATGTTGATCACGAGCTCTTTAATCATAATTGATTTTTTTCCCCATATTTTTATGATTTTTAACAATAATGCATATTGAGTTTATTTATTCATATTTCCAGAATATCTTACACGTTTTTAAAAACAATTCTCATAAATCAGCCGTTATCAGGCCAGAAAACATTAATTTGAAAATTATGATTTATATTAAATATATGTTTTTTTTAAATGTTTAAATACGAGTAAAATATAAAATATTTAATTTTAAGATTTAAATATTTATAAAATTTAATAGTAACAAATATGATTTTTGATGATTTTTTTTCAGTCCCTAACTTATCTTTTTTTTTTTTACATAATTTATCTTCTATAATTTCTTTACCTTTGTTATTAAGTTCTATAATATGGTTTTTTTCAATCAACGTAGAGCAGTAGGTTACCATTAAAATACGATAAACTGTAATATACTATATTAAATCGATTTTTTTTTTTTTACATTCACAGCGATTCGTTCAGAAGACTATTAAAACTTAATAATAGCAATAATAATATTCATTCGTTGCTCAAGATAACACAACTGTTAATTGTTATATTATTATACACATTAACTAATATGCCTACCATAAGCAATATTTCTACATATTTATCCAACATTATTCTTTTGTGTGTTATTTTAGAAATAACTATTAAGCTATATTACATTGTTTTAGTGTTTTGGAGATTCTATCGATTTTATTATCGAAGTAAGTGTTGAATAGAAGATAAAAATCTCCGATGGTAAAAACCAAAATAACGGATTACATATATCCTAAAAACAATTATATTAAATTATTTTCATATAAAAATATATATTAATTTCTTAACAAGGAATTTAAAAACATTAATTAATAACATATTCATACTTTTACCATCTGAGGTAGAATAATGAACTTTGTTTAAAATGTTTATATTGTTTTACAATTATTCACCACGGAAAGAGAAAAAAAAGAGAAAGCAGGAAAAAATTATACATGAATACAGTGTCAACTTTATATTAGTAGTTGGGCCGATGAATTAAACGGTGATCGTTCGTATGCGTGAAAAAAAAACAATCGTTTTGTGTACGAACCTAAGACAAACAAAAGCGAAAATTACCATCTATGGGTACTAAATGCTATTCGTGTCGTTATTAAAACGACATAATAATCAACCAATAAACTATGTATTATTGGGAAATCGATTTAAGAGCAAATGTTTCGCCAATGACAACGATTCGGGTAGTTATTACAATATTTTGAACATTTCAAAGTTTTTATTAATGTTTAGAAAATATGCCATGTGCTAGCCAACCCTAATGTGACAAACATTTACGGTTTGATTATATTTAGAACTTGGCCAACACATAGGATACGAGAGACGGCTGGTTTGCCAACTGACCCGCAAGCAAGCCATGTTTATTATTGTAATACGCTATAAAATTGTTTTATGGTAATATATAACAACAATAATAACGATAATATTAATTTCATATTTTTTGTTGTCGTTTCATTAGGAGTATCGCGGTGGGATTTGATTGACATTGCAGCGCAGTACGAAGAAATAATGTTTATGGCTCAAACATATGAGAACATTTTTTGCAAATGTATCATATAAATTATAATAATTAGGTAAACAAAATTATTCGATAAAATATTTTCTACATCGAACGTATTATTCGGAATGTTATTTTTTTTAGAATTCATCAATCGTTCAGCACTTATTAGAACACTAAAATGATAAAATGTATAGGGTTTTATTTATTGAAATTCAGACGGTGTAGTTAATCTTTTAACTAATAAGCAATAATGTAAAGTACTTGAGTGACTGTGTCCAAATAATATCTAGAGTATTTATTTTTTGTTTAATACATAAACATTTTTATTTATTTACTTCGAGGGGAATATCGATAAACTTTTACGGAAGTCGAAACGGTTAAAATGAAATAACTCGTAAGTACTCAAATATATATTATTTTAATTTCTCATTCATTTTTTACAAAATTACAAACATTTAAAAATCTTGCGAACTAAAATATACTTTTAGTTGTTACCAGATTTAATTATAGAAAAAGTTTAAAAAATTACTAAATATTTAAATGCACGTTTACCGTTTATACTTTTATTATTATTTATTTGAATTAATGTATTTGCATCTCTATTCAAGTACAGATTTTTAAAGTATTTTTACAAGACTGCTCACGAAAAGTTGTAGCACTCAATCAGTACAATTTGGACTTTCAAATATTCCTACTTTGTTGGAATCTTCTTTTCTTCTAAAATAATAATACATGATGTCGTAGGCCATCCAGATACGTGTGGTCTTATTGCGTTTCACAACTTTAATTTCTTTTCAAAATGTAAAATGTATACTATGTAATACAATACAATTAACTTTATGCGTAAACAAAAAAAGAACTGTCAATTATATGAAGTCGTATTCCTCTGTACGCGGTTAATTTCGGTTTGACTAATGTTTTCAAAACGAACATTTATTTTTCATATTTTTTTTTTACAATATTTTACTTGCAGTAGCATATTTTTAAACCATTTCCATCACCACCATAGAGTTTCGACACTTAAATAATATAAAATTATTACTTGTTGCTGCAATATCGTCAAAGACATAATACGAAGATCGGAGGACCGATGTTTCATAACAAAGTTAATTTAATCCTTATAGAATGTAGTTTATATTATTATTTGGTAATATTACGACGGCGTTAATAATAAACATAATTTAAACTTGTGAGTAAATTTAATTGAATATCGGCATAGTCTACAGCTCGAAAATAGTTAATTTAAATTAATTCAATATTTTAAATTTAATTTTTATTTGAGCTTAAAAAAAACGAAAAAATTCGATTAATGCTAAAATAACGTTTGTTTTAGAAGACCGGCTTATTTAAGGTAAAAAAACGTGTTTTTAAAATATATGTAAACAAATATCTATATAGGTACCTATATGAAAATATAAACATTTTTAATTGTTTTATAAAATAAAATAAAATCTTTAGAAACTTTTAAATTTAGAATGAAATTATAAATGAAAAATTATTATTCAAAATGTATTTAATAGTCTGATAATAGATTAATATAATAGGATTTAGTTAAGTAAATCTTATTATACTAGAAAGATAAAATTAATTTTATTGGGAAGATTTTAGACTGAACAAAATAAAATCTTGAAACAAGCAGATTATTTCGACATAATTATTGGAATAATATTTTCAGTTTTATTCTATAATAGTTTAATCTTTAATATACACACACATACACATTATTATGTTATACTTTATATTTATAGTAGTATAAAAAAGATTGTATCTCAAGTTCTCAATCAACATGCAAGTCCATATCAAAATCTATATAATAAAGTACTTAGACTCAAAGTTAACGTATATAGATTATATATAAATATATGTAGAATTTGAATAATACAAAATATGAACCTACTATAAAAAATAAAAATATAAGCATATAAACAAAAATTGGTACTCGCACCATCCTTAAACTTATGTTAATTTGATAGTCATTGAATATAAAAAGTTGAATGCGAAGTAACCCTTAAATAAATTGTCCAGTATACTCGTGCTTTTTAATTTAACTTTATTTGTACAAAGGTTTTTCCTATTGCGTGTGCTTAACGGTTTAATCTGTTTTAAAATATAATTACAAAAAGAAAAAAAAATCAATGAACCTCAGGGCGGTGAAATGCCGTCCATAATAAAAATGGCTCGTTTTATAGGAAGAATCTTATGGTTTACAAGCTCTTGATAAAGCAAAAAGGGAAAACGGGCAAGGCGGATGGTAGCGGGAGAACCTCGTGCCAGAACAACTGGGCACGCCATCCTGGTGTCGATTAAATATAAAGGAAATGAATCGTAAATTATTATGTCGGAGACCTTTTTTGCGGAGAGAAAACGCACTGCCATATATAAACATATACACACACACACACACACACAACACACACACACACACACAGTGACGGTGCTAGAGTTTGCAAGGCCCTGAGCAAAATTAATGTTGGGTCTCATAATTTATATTAATAAAATATTTTAAGTTCAGTTAAATCAAAACCGCAGGGTCTTAATTATAATTTAAGGCGCGGGGCCCTGGGCAACTGCCCCTATGGCCCACCCCCTCGCGCCGTCCCTGCACACACACACACACACACAAAAATAAACGAATGCACATATAAATAATGTGTATATATATAAATATGTAGTTACGTGGAGTGGAAGAGAAAAAATAACTTTGGTTTTATTTTCATATGAAAGTTTCTTTGCAGGATCGGAAAATACAATAATAATAATATAGTTAAATGCGGCAATACAGCTGGAATGACGACGGCTCGTTTCAATCATAATATGTGAAAAAAATACATTCAAATATGTATAAAATAGCGTACACTGTAGACTAGATAATATAATATAAAGAGACGTGAGTGCCCTTGAAACTAACTACTGTCTCGCTTTGCATGTTTTACAGCGGAGTCGGATATATTATTTTAAATTAAAATGAACTCGTATAGAATTGCATTCGATAGAAAAGATTCCCAACACACGTCCTATGTGATGTCCGATTTGCTACATTATTCTACGTGTTTACACAACGTTTTCTGTATCTTAGGTGTTTTCGTATGGAAAAATTATTACGAATAAACTTTAACGAGACCAGCAATATACGGCATGAGATGATTATAATTTGAAATGAAAAATGTGTATTATATTTAGAAAATATCAGTGGTTCACGAGAAACCGAATTTCAAATGACACCTAAAGCATCTCAACTTTTCGAAATGAGAT